AAGCATAGGGGGATCTATAGGATGTAAGGGCTAACAAAGAGCTCATAGACATCAAAAGAACAGTATACAAAATACATATTGTTAAGTTGCACTTCATCGAAATTAATACAACCTAACAGTCACTTTCTTGGAAACGATTCCCAAGGAATCAAAATATACGTTCGTACAATCATATTCACAAAATGTTCATAGAATCTTTATTCATAACAGTTGAAAAACGGAAATAACACAAATGTCTTTCAAAAAGTGAATAGTTTAGCAAACTGTACCATTGATAGCCTGGGCTTCTATTCAGCAACCTGAAAGGAACAAATGATAAAAATAACAAATGCAGGGGTGGATCCTGAAATATTTCATTTAAGTGAAAAAAGCTAATCCCCAAAGACTATAAATTGTACATTATTTATAAAACATCCTTCAAATGACAAAATTATATTAATGGAAAAAAGATTAGTGGCTGCCAGTTGTTAGTAACAATGGCAAAGGAGGAAAACAGGTGTGGATATAAAGGGGAAGCAAAAGGGAACTTCGTGGTGACGGAGCAGCTCTGCATTTTGACTGTGTACTGGTTACACCAATGTGAACATGTGATAAAATGCAGAGTGAATTTACACAAACACTCAAAAAGATTACAACCAAACTGGTGAAATCTGAACAAAGTATGTGTAGTATGCCAATGTCAATTTCCCTGTTTAAAATCATCCTACAGTTATGCAGGGTGTTACCATTGGGCAACATGGGGTGAAGACTACACAGGACCTTTATGCATTCTTTTTTATAATTTCATGTAATTATTTGAATATAAGAAGTGTTTGAAAGTAGCAAAGTAAAGTTGTCTTTATCAGGTGAGGGCAGGAAGATTAGAGTGGAGTTAATGTGTATGAACACTAAGAAATTCTAGGAGTGTCGGATATGATTGTTATCTTCATGTTTTGATAGCCCTATGGATATGCACATATGTCAAAATTTATCATATTTTGCACTTCATATATATATATATGCAGCTTCATCAGTGTCCAAAAATAAGGGAAATGTCACAGTAGGAACAGACTACTAATACTTGTATGAAATGTTAGCTGCTGGATAACTTGGAAAGAAAAAAGAAGCAGTAAAATACATTATATGAAAGAAACATATGATGCTACCAACTGCCAGTCAGCAAGAGGGGCATAATTCATGAGCTTACCAGGATAAGTCTGTTATTAATAGGAAAGTACATTGGTATAAATAGCCTGATATATTTAGGAAAATTAATAAATATATTCTACTCCATCTTATCAAGATTATGTATCTATATATGTGGATATGTTTATGTGCATAAATAAATATATATACTTATGTCTGTGTTTATATATAGATACATACTATGTACATATATTTACATCATTTTAAGGGGACAAGCTCAAGGCTGTTCTTTAAGGATATACTTTGTAATGGTTTGGCCATAGGTGAGAGTTGGAGACAAATGAAATACCTATTGATAAAAAAAAGTAAAATTTGTTAAATATATACCATAGATTATAATAAACAAAAAAAATCATAACATCGATGCATAATACGGTGAATTAAGCAGCAATGAAATTTAAAAAACAATAATATGTACACAGTTACATATATATATAAAATACTACATTTTTAGTAGGATAAATTGATAATCTAGGTATATATCAAGCAAAAGAGAATATGTTTCAGGGTGGGAAAGAAAAATTGGAAGCAGAACGAACAGAATGGAATGAATGAAATACCACAATGTTCAAAGGAAATACGAAACCAAAAGAGAAGTAAGAACCAGTTATTAATGAAGTCAGCTCACTATGAAATGAGAAGAATGAGTAGTTTCTGTCTCAGAGATGGGGGAAAAAACAATGAAAATCAAAGAGACAATATGTTGCATTTAAATAATGCATAATTTTCATTGCATTTAAATTTTTTAAATAATGTATTAGAACATAATTTTAGCATTTATCCACAGTGTCACATATTTGAGGAGACCGCTATGGAAATGTGGACCCTAATGAATCTAACCTAAGTATATGACATTTTATCAAGGGTCTTGTGTGTAAAAATGGAAAGTGAACTAAAAGTGAAAAAAGTAGCAAATACATTAATAATTAGCAAACAAATACACAAATAATAAACTTAGTCATTGGTGAGTACAAATTGTCCTCGCCAATTAATAGACAACCTCCGGGCATTATGTTGTGCTCCCACATGCTTTGGGGATACTAAGCAAATTGCTTGGCATTTCCTCAGGGAGCATCTCGACAGGTGAAAAAGATCCATAAATTGTTCTGAATATGCCATGTTAAAAAACACAAATGGGAGTCAAGAGAGAGGCTTCCTTACAGGTAAAAATCATAGACTATTTCCTTGGTTGATATAACATTAATATCTCCAGTGTTTCAAGGACGTTTGCAGAGTTCCACTTTAATTCCATGGCAAAGCCAGAGCAAGGTGGGACCATTTCTGATTCAGTTCTCTCTGTTTTCTAATATCCACAATGCCTGGATAGGTACAGAACTTCTCTACTTTTTTCTTCATATCATTGTTTTGAGTATGTTCATGTGGGTAGAGGGGCTAAATGCATCTTTGAAACTTCATTGTCATTCTGTTTCTATTAGGTATGTGGAAATGTATAGGTAGTAGTATTTGATAAATATTCAGTAAATGCAATAAAAAGCAGTACAAATTTTGTTTTCTTTTTTGTTTGCTTGTTTCTTTTTGTTTTCCTTTCCAATCATGGAAGGCTAAAAAAGTTAATGCACTTTATAAGTACCAATTTTCTGTAAGGTAAGGAAAGGCAAAAGCATTTCCTCTCACCAGTTTTGAGGTTCTATAGGATCAAATCGCTTCTTCATAGTTTATGTCTGTTGAGCAGTTGACTTTTACTTTTCTAAAGCTATTCTCTTTCAGATAATTATATCTGTTTTCTGTCATTTTCTTTCTAGAAAATGAGGAATTTGCTGAAAACTCTTTTATATCTGCTTGTAGTTCACTCAGAGACTCCTGACTCGCATTTTTATCATAAATTCTATCATTCATTCTTTTTTTTTCTTAATGGAATCAGTGATACCCGCAATTTTTAAAATTCTCTTTGGTTCTCTTACCTTCATATGCCATCCACCTCCTATTCTGGTATAATTTTTGTATCCTTATGTTTAGGGTAGTTAGATACATTTTATGTGATACATTAGTAGTTATACGTTTATCTGTATTATGGGCTACATCACTGTTTGAAGGAGCTCCTGTGTGCCTAATGTGCAGGCGGATTTCAAATCATACCCAAGAATCCATGTATATCTCATCTTCAGTGTACTTTATTTTGTACCTATGGTGTTGTGTATCAAGTATGTCTAACATTTTTTTTCTTTAAACTACTATATCCTTTAATCCAAAGGGATTTTTATGAAATTTCGTTGTGCAAAACCACTGCCAGTGACCTCTTTTTATCCCAGTTTTCTCAGATTTCATCCTACTCCCCTAGTTTCTTGCATAATAAAGTGCATCAGATTTGTTACATATTACTTAGGATATCTCAATTTTAATGAAAACCCTGCAAGGGGAGGAATAATATTTTAAACAAATTTATATTATAATAACTTAAATGAAAATGTTATAATAGATATGAAAATTTGACAATAGGTTATCCATGAGAATAGCAACTTGACTGTTCAAATTTACACGTGAAATAGGGGGTAGGGTAGTGACTGGGTAAGTTCCATGTGTTATGTCCTGCAGCTCCTCATCTATTCACATAATAGTCATGACAATGAAGTTGGGTCACAGTCTAGAGAATGCACATATGTATCTAAAGAAAACCTCTTTCAGGTAAGTTACTATCACCATTAACAACAAAACTAAACAAAATAAAAACAAAAGAAACCAAACAGAAACCTATGTAACTTGATATTTGAGAACTATTTCCAGATACTTAGACATTGAATCATTGAATCTTCATTTTAAGCTCCTAACAACAATGCAAGGAAATGTTAGTTTTATATGAGAATAGAGAGTTTTAGAGACATTACATTATTTATCCAAATTATTATATATTTTATATATTGTGTATATAAAATATTACATATTATAATATTCATATTATAAAGTAAGGTACAGCAGAACCCACACTACCTACACACATCTACTGGTCTGTTACAACACATAAACAAAAATACTTCCCATTGTGATCTATTACACTTTATTATTCACGTGCCTGCCAAATATCTAGCCAGTGTGCCAACTTTTCAGCCAGTTCCATCTACAGGCATAAAATCTTTCAGAAGACTAAGTCTTGAGTATTGAGTTACATGCTTTTTTGGATTTTGTGGTTCGAAACTTTTATCATATAATTAACATGTATTGTGTCATATTAATAGTATATTTGATAAATGACATGATGTGATTGTATCATACAAATGATAAACAAACACTTTAAGAATAGTACAAAGATCACCTACATGTTTAACACCCAAAGTTTCAACACTATTTTAACTTATTTTCATTTTTGCTTTGATAGCCTTACCTATGTATACTTATTATCTGTCTATGTATCTACCTATATATTTATCTTTCTATGTCTGTGCATCTAATCTACTGCATCAGGATTTCTGATCTTGGCACTATTGTCACTACTGACCAGTCATGTTATGGGCTGGACGTAGCATGTAGTAGGATGTTTAGCCTCTACACAGTAGAATTCTACAAGCACCTCTACTATCAGTTGTGACAACCGAATGTCTCTATCACTGGAAAATATGCTTTGGGGAGTAAAATCACTACAGCTGATAATTACTCATCTATTTCCATATACCTTTCTGTCTCTGTTTATATATAATTTAATGTGTGGAATATAGGTTTATTTTCAAACATGCTAAGTTGGAACATTTGGATGTATTTTATTTATGATACTAAGCATATTAAAACACCTTTAGAAGACAATACAGAAAATCTGTTGACTGTGATGATATCTCTATCCAGAATAGGCTTTCCAATAAACGTGGATGGAAAACCACAGTCTAACAGTGCTAAATGAGTTCATCCTCCTGGGGATCACAGACCGCCCTGAGCTGCAGGCCCCCTTATTTGGGCTCTTCCTGACCATCTACGCGATCTCAGTGCTGGGCAACTTGGGCCTGATCATCCTCACCAAGGTGGACCCCAGGCTCCAAACCCCCATGTACTTCTTCCTCAGACACCTGGCTCTCACTGACCTCGGTTATTCAACAGCTGTGGGACCTAAAATGTTGGTAAATTTTCTGGCTAATCAACGCACCATTTCCTATAATTGGTGTGCTACACAGCTAGCTTTCTTTATCATGTTCATCATTAGCGAACTTTTCATTCTATCAGCAATGGCCTATGATCGCTATGTGGCCATCTGTAACCCTCTGCACTACACGGTCATCATGTCAAAATCAGTATGCTGGGTGCTCGTGGCTGTCCCCTACCTCTACAGTGCGTTTCTTTCTCTGTTAAACACAGTAAAGATTTTTATTTCATCCTTTTGTGGCTATAATGTCATTAATCACTTCTACTGTGACAGTCTCCCCTTGTTAACTTTGCTGTGCTCAAACCCACATGAAATTGAGTTGACGCTACTAATCTTTTCAGCATTTAATTTGGTTTCTTCTCTCCTGATAGTCCTTGTGTCCTACACACTGATCCTTCTGTCTGTCCTCAGGATGAATTCTGCAGAGGGCAGGCACAAGGCCTTCTCCACCTGTGGGTCCCACCTGACGGTGGTAGTCATATTTTATGCTACTCTGTCCTTCATGTACATACAACCCAAATCCAGTCATTCCTTTGACACTGATAAAATGGCCTCTGTATTTTATACCTTGGTAATACCCATGCTGAACCCCATGATCTACAGCTTGAGGAACAAAGAGGTAAAAGGCACACTGCATAGGATATGGAAAAATCTGTGCAAATTTCCAACATAGAGTTCAATATAGAATGCATATACAGTTAGTCAGATATAGAGTACTGTTTTTTATACCTGGTAAGACTTCAGAAAGAAGGAATGTATAAGAGGCATGAAAAACTAGAAACATTTTTCCTGTTTTAATTTATAGATGTTCATCCTTCTGTTGTCAACTTTGATTTGTCCAAACCATGTATCTATAAAGGGGTTTATATCCAAATAGATGAAGAACTCATACAACTGAACACCAAAAAACAAATGACCTGATTAAAAAGGGGGCAGAGAACCTGAATAGACATTTTTCCAAAGAAGACATACAGATGGCCAACAGGGACATGAAAAGATGCTTAACATCACTAGTCATCAGGGAAATGCAAATGAACACCACAGTGAGATACCACCTCACACAGGCAGAATGACTAGTATCACCAAGATAAACACTGAGTATTGCTGAGGATGTGGAGAAAAGTGGAATCTTAGGCACCATTGTTGGATGTGTACACTGGAGCAGCCACTGTGGAAACAGTATGGAAGGTCTTCAAGAAATTAAACATAGAAATGCCACAGGAGTTGGTGATTCCACTCTGGTTATTTACCCCTGAGAAAACAAAAACACTAATTAAAAATGATATATGCAACCCCGTGTTTGTTGCAGCTTTATTTACAATAGCCAACATATGGAAGCGACCTAATTGTCCGTCAATAGATGAAAGGATACAGAAGGTGTGGTTCCTAGAGACAATAGAATATTACTCAGACATAAAAGAGAGTGAATCTTGTCATCATGACAACATGCATAGACCTAAAGGCTATTACCTAATGGAAATAAATAAGGAAGAAAAGACAAATACCATATGATTTCTCTTATATATGTAATCTGAAGAACAACAAATGACCACAGAAAAAAGCAGGAATAGGTTTTCATAAATACAGAGAACAAAAAAGGTGATTGCCAGGGATGGGGGTGGGAGGATGGGAATATAGGTTAATGGGATAAAAAAGATACAAACTTCTAATTATAAAATTAGTAGGTCATGGAAATGAAATGCAGTATAAGGAATGTAGTCTTTCACATTCTAGTAGCATTGTATGGTGACAGACAGTAACTAAATTTATTGTAGTAAGCATTTGATAATGTATATAATTGTCAAATCAGTATATTGTACACCTGAATTTAATATAATATTGTATGTCAACTATAGTTTAATAAATTTTTTTAGTTAAAAATAATCCAAAAGAATCTTCAAGCTAAAACATTACAAATAATAATTGAAATTTTCAAGGGTAATAAATAAATGGTCAGCATATAAAGGATGAATTATTTTGCTATATATTAGCAAAAGTTTGGTAAAAGTAAAATTTTTACCTATCATTTACCCTAGGAAAAGTCTCTAAAACATCTAGGGTAAAGCCTAGGGAGTTATAGGCATGACTTCATTGCTAGAAATTACAAAACATAATTGAGCTACAAAGAAGACATAAATGTAACAGTAAGCCATGCCCAATGATTGAAAGAAATACACATTGTGATGAGGTCAGTTCTTCCTAAATTTCCCTATGGATTTAATGCAATAACAATAAAAATTCTAACTGTATTTTTAATACTTAAGTTGATATCAAAATTTATGTGGAAATGCAAAGGATCATGAATAGCCAGGGAAATCTCTTAGAAGAAGGAAGAATACAGAGGACTTCCGGTAACAGATATCAATTACTTTCATAAAGTTAGATTATTTATGAAATTCTGTCATCATGCACATATGGACAGAGAGACCAAAAAATAACTGTGAGTATTTCATAATGTGGGTTACTGTTAAACCAGTGTTGTATACTTGAAACCAAACCAAGACTGTATATCAACTTTTCTTCAATAAAAAAATTCAAAAATATATATGTATAAATAATATAAATAAAGTCACAAAGTAGACTCATGTATGTAATTTCACTTGATTAAAAAAAGAATCTCCCCTGCAATGCAGTGAGGCAAGGAGAGAAACATAAGGTGACCTAGATCAGTTAAGTTCCTATGTAAGACATGCTCCTTACTATTTGACTTGCATCACATGTAAAAACTGAGATGTCATATGACACACAAATGTGAAATTTAAAACCCTAATGAAAAGCAAAACAATATCTTCATAACTTGGCTAAGAAAAAACTTCTTAAACAGAGTAAACAAAATATAAAAATAATTTTAAAAAGTAAAATCAATTATAGAGAATAAATAGCACTCTATCCAAAATAAATATTTGTATTTATCAAAATTACCATAAAAGAGTGAAAGAGAAATCCTCAGAAACATATTTAAAAACATATATCCCATACAAACTATTGATACAGGTAATTTGTGAGAAACAAAAAACAAAATAACAATTGCCTAACTCCTAAAATCAGTATAATCAAGAAAGATTCATTGCATGAGATTTATAATGCTTGTTGTATCCATTAAAAATATGTCCCTTAGTGTATTATCTCTTGAGAATTAATTCAGTGTTCCTGAACAGCCGCATCTAATCTGTTTATGGTCTATATGGATTTGCCTATTATGGATATTTCATATAATAAAATTGTACAAATTGTGGCCTTTAATACCTGGATTATTTCATCAATGTTTTAAATACATATGCATGTTGTAGCATGTATCAATACTTCTTTCTTTTTATGCATTATTAATATTCCACGGTACAGATATACCACATTTGTTTTCTATCCATTAACTGATGAACTTTTGGGTTGTTTCTATTTTAACTATTATGAATAATATTACAGTGAACATTTGCTTACAAGTTTTTGTATGAACAGCAGTGATTTTCAAAACTTTTAGATATGTATCTAGGGGTAGAATTGCTGGGTCAGAATGGTGATTCAATTATTAAAGTACAAGTAAACATGAAACTGGTTTCACAGTGGCTGAACCAGTTTACATTTCCCACAAATATGTACAAAGGTTCTAATTTCTCCAAGCCTTGCCAGTATTTGTAATTCTCTTTTTTAGTATCTATCCCATGGGTATGAAATGCTATCTCATTGTGGTATTGATTTGCGATACCCTAATGACTAATGATCTTAAACATCTTTTCATATACTTACTGGCCTCTTGCATAACTTTGTGAGAAACGCCTGTTCAAGTCTTTTGCCAATTTTTTTTTTAACTTTGTGTTTGCTTTTTGTTGCTGAGTTGAAAGAGTACTTTGTATATTTTCTATACCAGACTCTCATGAAATATATGATTTGCATATGTGGTCTTCAGAAATAAACAAAACAAAATGAACAAAATAGTATTAGATTCACAGATACTGAGAAGTAATCGTTGGCTATCATGGGGGTTGAGGCCAATGGGTGCAGAGGGTGAAGGGGTTGAAGGGACACAATAAGTCTAATCATAATATAAATTAGTCACCAGGATGGGAGTACAGCACAGAGATATAGCCCATGATTCTGTAACAGCTTCCTATGTTGACAGATAATAAGTGCTAATGTTATATTTTTCTACTTGCTTTCTTACAGCTCATTTATAAACTCCTGACACTACTATTTTCTTGGTTTCATGACCTTCCTTCTTCCTTCTCTCCTTCTTTCCTTCCTTCCTCAAGGAAGCGTGGACACTCACAATGTTTAAAGCCATTAATTTGTTTGCTTTGGCCTCCATCCTCATTCTATTCTGATTTTTTTCTAGATAAGCAGTTTATTAGGGATATTGTATACATTTTATTTAACCATATTTATGTTCATCTGTCTTTTATGCTTTACAACACAGTATGGAGTGGTTCTTTGTGGCCTAATGTGCAAACTTAAAATAACATTAGATTCTATATACCTTTATCTATATCTATAAATTGTCTGTTCATTTTATACTGCTAATGTGTTGCTGCATAATAAATTTAAAAAGTAAAGTGTTTAAAATACTTTTTTTTTCTTTAAAGTGAAGGATCCCTTTATCCAAAGGTAATTTTAATGAAATTTCATTACATAAAACCAATTTCAGTGGCCTCACTTCCTCCCAATTTGCTCAATTTCCTCCAACTGTCCCAGATTCCTCCAAGACAACATATAGTTCATGTGTTACAAACAACTTAGGATGTGCTAGTTAAAATGAAAATGCACCCGAAGGGGGAGGAAATAATTTGGTTTTAGATAAATTTTTATTAAATATTTTAGTGATGTAAAATAAGTTATCCAAAGGAACAACACAGTGATGGTCCAATTTAGAAATGGAGTTGGGACACGGTGGGGCAGGGTGACTGGGGATCATTACTGGATAACACACTACTTGATCTATTCATTATCATGACCTTGACCAAGAAGTTAAGTCACACACACAAAAACTGTATATGTACATATGGAAAGATAATCCATTAGAAAACATACTGTATTCACTTAAAAAATTATAAACACAGAGAAAGAAACCCCCACTATGCACCTAATATTTGAGGGATATTTAAAGATACCATGAACACACTGAAACATTTCTCATCCATCTTCTCGGCAAACCTGCAGAAAAGGAAGACTTGATTTTGCCAATATGGAAAAAAGGGAATAAGATAATTCACATGATTTGTTCAGAATATTCCTTTGCATATATCACAATTGTAAGTACAGTGGTAACTCTATCTACCTATGTACACTTTGTGGGATATTTCTGTATATAAAAACAAGTAATCTCTGTATGATGTTAGAGTTGTCTATCTATACATCTCTGAGCTCAATCAGCCGGATGCTCTGAGCTCAATCAGCCGGATGCGTTGATGCGTTGTTTCATTCTGTACCTATAGGAATAAAGGGTCTCACAGGACTATGTTTTACAATAGACACTTTTAAATGTTTCTGCAAATTACTGCAATTTGGGTTTAAAAATTTATATTATATACTTAATATATATTATATTATGTGATTTTAATTTGGTAAATGTAATTATGTAATTGCCACTATATAAATAACAGATTCATAATCATCTATATACCTAACCAAAATTTATAACCATTTTTTAAATTTTTGATTATTATATCATCTATCTATCTA